CACAAATGATTACCTTACTTGTAACTTGTGCTCATCATTTACTTTTTCCCTTACTGCTGCTCTGATCAATTTTATTGGTACGTTTGGAAACTTCTTCTCTACTACGTCTGTAAATTCCCCTCTTCTGAATATCCTCCTCCTGAGAGTTTCTTTGTTCTCTAAAGAGAAATAGATAAAGTTGAAAATACTTATCTTCAATCATGATAAAGCATGAGCAGGATTTAAGTTTCTGTTGATATGATAACCTTGGATAAAATATCACAATATTGTGATTACTGCTCTAAAATAAGTTATTTTTAAAAATCTGAGTAAAAAACAACAACTTAAACACATTTTATTTTAGAAAAGATTTTAAATATTTTGGAACGGCAAACATGTCAGGCTAAATAATTAAAATAAATCATTGACTGCTGCTGTCGTCATTAGTTTCAAAAACACAGATTTCTTTACAACACATAAAAAACCTTTACAAATACCTTGGAAACTGTATAGCAGAAAATATTGGTGGTTATAAAACCGTGACTTTTCCAAACAGACATAAATCTTGAAACCGCTTATTGTCCAATGCCTACTCATGATCACAAGTCTTGATGTTTGCTGTACGTTTTACCTTTAATGTCTAGAACTGTAGCTGGTGAACTTTCATCCTCATAGGCAACATCCACAACATCCCCAGGTTCAAATTTCTTTTTCAGTAGGTTCTTTTTAGAAACAATAATGTCATAGGTCGATGGTTCCTCCCTCCATTCCACTAATGTTAGGACTCATCTTTTGCCCATTTTCTAAGATAGATAAATATATAGACATAAATAAACACACACACACATGCACACAATTAATTCTGATGGCTACAGCTGACTGTATCCATGACAACAGTTTTACCTTAATGTACCTGCCAAAGAGTAGTTTGCTGTCCGGCCGTAGCGATAAATGATTTCTGAGGTAACAAAAAACTATATTAGCACCATTTATAAGCAGTGAAAATACTAAATAAAACACTGGTTATGTTAACAATGATAAAAATATCATTTCATATAGTAATTTTTTAAATTAAGTTCTGATATGATGTGCGGTAGTAGACCTTAGTATATTACGTTAGCAATGTACTAGTATGTACTAGTAGTATCTCGACTTTAAAAATCAGGTAAGTATTTGTTTTGGTGTTACAAAACAATTTACTGATTTAACATTAAAACAGAGCATTTATTAGAGCACTTTAACGATAAAATAACTTAAGAAAAGTGTTTTACCTTCAGAAGACGGTTGGTGACAGTTGACTGACGTGCATTCGAATCGGCGACGTGAAGCGAGTCATCTCAATGAATCGAATCTTTTCTCTGAATGATTCATTTTACCGGAGTTTATAATGTAAACTACACTGTAACGCCAGTAGGTGGCGAAAACGAGCGTCTTTTTTTAAGTGTGAAAGACTGTGTGAATCTGTAAAGCACAGATTCATCAAAACACACGTATTCCACAAACAAATCATTTATTTTGTTAAAGAAAAAAGTCTGTTTATAAGAATGTTTATTTTAATGTGTCTACTCAAGTCCATTTTGTCAAATAATACACACATATATTAGTAGTAGTCATTATTAACTTAAAATATTGTAAATATATAATGTGTTTAAAATAGACCTATACATTATTGGCAGCAATGTATTATCTAATTTTAATTTAGCATTTATATCTTATTTTATTTAAAATGTTTAACAAATGTTTATATTAATTTAATAATTAAATTTACTCTAACATTGCAGAAAACACATTATGTTTACCAATCACCTGAACAATAACCGTAACCTGCTTCTTTTAAAAGAATAAAAATGGAGTAAAAATTGTACTTAAATGAAGAGGCACCAGTTTCAGCTGCCACAAAAAGGCAATGGACACAGAATAAAATAGGTTGCTCAGGTCAAAAAGACAGAGAATAAAGGATAACAGCAACAAACATTTTAAAAGAAAGAGGAAGAGACTCTGTTGAACTCATAAAATGCACAGACATACGTTTAACATATACTACCTCAAGGACAGGTCTTGCATTTTTTTAATTTATTTATTTATTTTGATTTTTTTTGCATCTAACCAAACAGATTTTTAATAAATGAAAAAAAAAGTATAGAAATGAAACGTAAAAGTGTACAGCTTGCTTGTTTGCATAAATGCATAATTTGAATGGTTTAGTGTAATGGTTGATTTTTATAATTGCCTATAATCTTTTTGTATACTTTATGTAGTTATTTTCTTTTTTTTTGTTTGTTTGTTGTAATGTTTATCTGTTAGAACTCATATTGTATTGCTACCAAAAACAAGTGACACAATTTCTTTCATTCCAATTACAACAAATAATTCCTGCAAGCCCTGCAGGAATTATAAAATCCTGCAGGATTTGTCACTTGCTTGGATCCATTGTAAAAACCTGTAGGAAATTCCTGCACATATTGTCAATGTGTCTTACAGGATTTTTGAATTCCTGCAGGACAGCAGCTTTTCTGAAGGGGAAAAAAATGAATCCTTCAGGATTCCTGCAAAAAGTACTGCATGATTCTAAAACCTGTAGGAATTGCCTGCACATATTGTCAATATGTCCTGCAGGATTTCATAATTCCTACAGGATACCAGCAGGTTCCTGCAGAAAAAAATGAAAATCCTGCAGGATTCCTGTAGGCTATTTTTGTAAGGGTACTGTCTCTGGGCTTTTGTACTTCCATTTTAAACCAAATAATAATGGTTGTGGTAAGATTAACCGTGTTTTTGTAGTTTAAAATATGGTATTCAGTCATGTTTAAACAAATAAATACCACATTTTCTGTAATAAATCGTGGTTAATTTTTCTTTCTCGATCTTAGTTAATTAACATAACTCATATTTATTTTCTATTTTTATTTAAAGTCATCATACACAAAACAACTGGGATCAGGACAGGTATCTGATGTTAACTAATATAAAAGTGATCATACATGAAACCCCTGGGATCAGGACAGGTATCTGATGTTAATATATATAAAAGTGATCATACATGAAACACCTGGGATAAGGACAGGTATCTGATGTTACTGTATATAATATAAAAGTGATCATATATGAAACCCCTGGGATCAGGACAGGTATCTGATGTTACTGTATATAATATAAAAGTGATCATACATGAAACCCCTGAGATCAGGACAGGTATCTGATGTTACTGTATATAATATAAAAGTGATCATACATGAAACCCCTGAGATCAGGACAGGTATTTGATGTTACTGTATATAATATAAAAGTGATCATACATGAAACACCTGAGATCAGGACAGGTATCTGATGTTACTGTATATAAAAGTGATCATACATGAAACCCCTGAGATCAGGACAGGTATTTGATGTTAATATATATAAAAGTGATCATACATGAAACACCTGAGATCAGGACAGGTATCTGATGTTAATGTATATAACATAAAAGTGATCATACATGAAACCCCTGGGATCAGGACAGGTATCTGATGTTAATATATATAAAAGTGGTCATACATGAAACCTCTGGGATCAGGACAGGTATCTGATGTTACTGTATATAATATAAAAGTGATCATACATGAAACCCCTGAGATCAGGACAGGTATCTGATGTTACTGTATATAATATAAAAGTGATCATACATGAAACCCCTGGGATCAGGACAGGTATCTGATGTTAATATATATAAAAGTGATCATACATGAAACCCCTGAGATCAGGACAGGTATTTGATGTTACTGTATATAATATAAAAGTGATCATACATGAAACCCCTGAGATCAGGACAGGTATTTGATGTTAATATATATAAAAGTGATCATACATGAAACACCTGAGATCAGGACAGGCATCTGATGTTAATGTATATAACATAAAAGTGATCATACATGAAACCCCTGAGATCAGGACAGGTATTTGATGTTAATATATATAAAAGTGGTCATACATGAAACCCCTGAGATCAGGACAGGTATCTGATGTTAATGTATATAGTATAAAAGTGATCATACATGAAACCCCTGAGATCAGGACAGGTATTTGATGTTAATATATATAAAAGTGGTCATACATGAAACCTCTGGGATCAGGACAGGTATCTGATGTTACTGTATATAATATAAAAGTGATCATACATGAAACCCCTGGGATCAGGACAGGTATCTGATGTTACTGTATATAATATAAAAGTGATCATACATGAAACCCCTGGGATCAGGACAGGTATCTGATGTTACTGTATATAATATAAAAGTGATCATACATGAAACCCCTGGGATCAGGACAGGTATCTGATGTTACTGTACACTGTAAATGCAAACATGGTATTTAATTAAAAATAGTAAATTGACCTTAATCAGTTTTTATCAACCTGCTATTAACACTCACTTTTAGTAAGTTACTTGTACTTTGAGGTTGAAAAATCTTACCAGCTCAGTTTACTTGAGCTGGATTCATTTAGAAAAAGTAAGTTTATGACACTGTGGGCATGCGCAGATCAACCAATCATCCCCAACCAATCAAGGTGCTTCGTAAGGCGGGTCTTGGCGTGGCGGGATTCGTAATTTTGCAAACGGTATGTCACGTCTTGCCCGCAACTGACCGACCAGATGAAGCTGGATATCATTGAGCTGGACCTAAACATCGCTTCAACGGCACTTGTGATTATCGTCAGCATAACAGCGATTCTTGTGCTTGGCACACTCATTTGGTGAGTAAATATTTTAATTTACCCTTGCGCAGATCGTTTTGTTTCTGTAAGTTAGCGCCAGTGTTTTGTGCCTGCTATGATGTGTGTAGTAATGTCGGCTAACGCTAGCTAACTATATTATGGACATAACGTGACTCTATTTTGATGAAACTTCCATAACTTCCTCTGTGTTGAAAATAGGTAACTTTCAAGACTTTTGTCACGTTAAAATTGAGGAAAAACTTTAATGTAGCAGTAACGTTAACGGTCGCGGGCGTGCTCGTCACGCGCACGCGCCCACCTGCCATGCAAGTAACATTTGTCATCGAGTACTGACTAGCAGCTAGCATGATGATAAGAGACTGATCCCGGCGGTTTGGGAGTTTCCTGAGTTTTATAACTGTTGTTTGTAAGCTCAGGCAGAACATCAGAACAAGTCTGGATGTATCCTTTTATTTTAATATAGTATTTTAATATATTTTAATATTCTTACCCAGATCCGTCTTGGTTCGCTACAGACAAGAGTGTTTACCTGTCTGAAAAGATCTTTACACTGAGTTTATCATAGTCTGCTATGATAGGGAACATATTTGCTGGCATACTCAGTGGCTTACATTATTCTTTAAGGTCATCTTGTACATAATATGTACATTTTAATACTGGGAGCTGTCATTGTGGGTTATTGGCCTATGTTACAGGTTTCACATGTACTTGGTTGTGCTAAATTGTTGTATTTTTTTTTTTTAACTGTGCCCTTCCAGGCTCAAGCAGATGGTGATCAATCCACACATTCCATAATCCCAGCAATAAAAGGTATTTTCAACTAATAACTGTATAATTATTGCATGCTAAAGTAAAAGTTATGCTTACATCAGAGCAATTGGATTACAACAAAAGCTTAGAAAATCTTGTGTGTTGAAATTATTTCATTATAGTATATTTCATCATACAGAATATTTTGTGCATATTTAGAATTTCAACTATTTGATTTAATTAGTATTTCTGGACTGTCTCCATAGATACTGTGGGTTCGATTTATAGTCCATCATACCCAGGACTACAGTTTATACATAAAATATAAATATAAAAATATACATTTTTTTCATGATATTTATTTTGTATCACATTTGATACATCAGGCGTTTGTGCAACTTTTTGCTCAAAACATAGAAAATTTTAATTACAAAAAAATGAATTTGCCCTTCTCTTTTTGACAAAAGAGAACATTTTAGGCAGTTTATCTCTTTATTTTTTGTTACATTAAGCATTTTACAGTGTTTTATTATTTCACATTGTGGTAGGCGCACTAGTAGTTTCAGTTCTTGTTCAGGCAAAGATGCCCTTTACATTTACACGGTACACAGAAGTGAGAAGTCATTGCTTGTGCAGTGTTTTTATCTCTGTCAGGTTTCTCCATGTTGGAAAATGATCAGGATCATGCCTTGTAACATTAAAAAAGCACACACAGCAAATTCATTGGTGTTAAATTTCAAGTGTTGTGGTAATTCAGAGTAAAGTGTTAAAATTCTAGAGTTAGATAAAGGTAAAACAACCCTCTCGGCGTTAGAAGCTTATTTGCCTCCTTGTCATACAGAGTAACATGTATCTACCTTTGTAGATTGTAAAAACCCTTGTATTTGAGAAACTAATCAGAGTGTCTGAAATCTCGCCACACCCTCATTCACCTGGCCCTTAAATTAGTCAATTAGTTTAGTCCACTAGACAGAGTGAATGACCACAAATAAGTGAATTCAGACACCTGCTGTTGAACACCTGCTGTTAACAAGCACAATCACTGAAGGAATAAGAAATTGAAGGAAGAAATAAAACTACAGACACAGCCTCACACCAAACCAACTGAATTAAAACAGAGGATTAAACAACTCCATTAAATAATAGCATTAGCAGCTTCACTGATTACAGTTTGACTTAATTTCTGTAAGAATATTTGACAATGAACCGAGGTTTATATTTTTTTATTAAAAATATTTCATTTGACCTCACCATCATGGAGATCAGAGGCTGCTTATTTGAGCTCTTGAAGCTTTACTCTAATATCATATTGTTTCTCTGACTGCTATAGCTGTGTTTCTAAATCTCATTAGCTATAGCAAGAAAGGTCAAGGGAAACTATACTGTTTATGCTTAATTGTTAAAGATTTAATTTCAGGTGTTTATTAAGTTGATTCATAAAGATATGCAAATATAGTTGTATTAAAACTGCATGGGACAATACTTCTGGCAGTCTGCTGCTCTTCATAGAAAATTCAACAAACAATTAGGATGCATTTAATAATTAGAGTATCATGCACTAAACATTCAAGCTCCAGCTTGCTCTTTATGACACACAGGCATCAAGAATCAGGACATGAACCTCAACCGTGGTTGCTAAAAAAAAAAAAAAAGCTGCATAGTTCATTCCGCAATGCATGCTGGGTGCCAGCATAGTACAAAGCTCCCAGCATGCATTGCAACATGAATAAATTATGCAGCTTTATGTTCTTACAATTTCTTTATTTTCCTTTATTTTGTGTTGTTTTTGGGAGGTGATATTTCAGTAGTGTTTTTTTTTTTTTTTACTTGATTTTTATTTTTTTGTTTGTCACCATCATTGAGATTCAAAGACTAATTACTGATGTCTGTGTGTTTTTGAGTGCTGCCATAGATCAAACATTCTAATTGTAAATATTGGTTTTATTTGAGCTTCAGTGGTTTCATTTATGTATATTATTTATTTCTCACACATAACTAATATGATATTGATTTAGAAAACAAGCAGGAAAGGGTGGCGATGTTATCATTAATAATCTCTTCAGACTGACACTTTAATTTTCTTTCGGCTTTCCATGCTATATGTATAAATAGTGTAATTAACACTATCTATAGCAACCAAAATAAAAGACATTTATTGTAAGAAGTTAAAGAGCTTGACTAAAGTAGACTCTGTCCTCCACCATGGTGACTTCAAATGAACAACAGAAATTTCATTAAGAGCTTTTGTTCACATGACAGAAATAAAGTCACTGGTCAGTAATAGGTGAAGCTCCATGATAAGTTGTTTAATTTGATGAGTTTTTTTTAAAGATGTTGAAAAATAAAATTTTTTATTGTGTAATTTGTTTTATTTTTATTGATTATTATTTTATTTAGAGTTTTTTTTTTCTCAGTTGATTTCATCTTTGGTTTTGGCTTGTGTTTTTCTGTCCTTCAGTGATTCTGCTTGTTAACAGTTGTTCATCAACAATTTTCAATCCTCCTTTAATTAGACACTTAATTGTCTCATTAACTTCATCACTGTCTGAGTGTTCAGCCCTCTGTAGTGAGGACACTAGTGAGGATTTTGCTCTGGAATTTAAGGCTTACGTGTTCGAATGAAAAATACAGACTATGGGATTTGTTTTTAACAAATATTCTGGAAACTGAATTTACGAATGTAAAATGTTGAAAACAGCAGATTACTGGCAACCACTGCTGCCAGTATTTTGACATACATTTAACAGATATTTTACACAATAAGAGTTTGCTAATTAACACTCTGGGTGTTAAAAATTTTAACACTTTCAAAAATGTTATTTTAACACTTATAGTGGTTCCCATATAAACACTGAGGGAGTGTTAATTTTAACTCTAAGGTAGTTAAATCTACCAAATCTAAAATTTGCAGTGTGAGATCGATAAAAAATACAGACTGTTGAATGTGCTTTTAACAGAAATATTCTGTAAACTGAATTTATGAATGTTAAAAGCAGCAGATTACTGGCAACCACAGCTGCTGGTATTTTTACGTAAAATCTAAAAATGAAAAAGAAAAAAAGAAAAACAGCAAAACGGTTTTTGTGTCACCATTGTGGAGGATAATAGCGTCTCTGTTCAAGTCCAAGATGAACTGATATTATTTGATGTTATGCTGCATCTTCTTTTGTTTAAAGGTAACTGTGTAGTTACTAATGCAGTCAAAATCTGTTTGCTAATTGCAATCACACATGATAACATTATTGCATCTAAAGACTTTACTTTTTTTTTCTACTGAGCTATGATTTTGTAAACTGAACATTGTATTAGTTCATGAAATATGGTTATTTTTTGTAAATTTATACAGTTCTACAAAACTTCCATGTTTTTCACAGAAAGATTCTGGCAACCACAGCTGCTGGTATTTTTTCGGAAATTTAACAGATATTTTACACAATAAGAGTTTGCTAATTAACACTCTCTTGGTGTTGACAATGTTAACACTTTCAAAAGTGTTATTTTAACACTTATAGTGGTTCCCATATAAACTCTGAGGGAGTGTTAATTTTAACTCTAAGGTAGTTAAATCTACTATCTAAAATTTGCTGTGCATGTACATAAACATGGACCTTTTATGGGGTGCATGTTCATGTACATGCCTAGGACTTTCTGAATTTATTTGGCATCTGTGTTTATAGACTTGCCATCTTTGAATATATTGTGCAGGCTTATTTGTTCTCCAGTGTCCTGTAGCATTTCATCAGTGGCAAACTATTTCAATACTCTACGTATACAGAGTCCATAATAATAGATGGCAATTAAAGTGCCATAGTGCAGTTAGAGGAAGATAAGTAAGGATGGAGTCTGCTTTGCTGACTGCTTTCTGACTGTGTTCGTGTAGTTGGGACCTTTACTTCTGTGCGTGTCTAAACTACATTTTCTTCTTGATATTCTTCCTCATCACTGCTGTCTGAATGACCATTATCATGCATGGTCAGGCATCCTCCTCTTTCCTTAACTTCTCTCTGTCACTTTAATTGCCATAGACTATTATGCTGATGGCATTTTCAAGACACTTTAATTTTTGTAATATCTTCCTCTATTCTTTTGACATCTGAAAATACACAGAAATTGATCAATATAGTTTATCGATTATAAATTATTGTAAAAATACACACAATGTATTTTAAAATGGTATTTCAGTTTCTATTTATATTAGTTTAATCATCCAAAAACAGTGTTTTTGCATTGTAGTAGGCGTTATATTGATTACATTACAAAAATGTGACATCATTGTTCGGAAAATAATTTTATACAACAGGTATCAAATTTGATACATGATTTTCAACACAATTTATTTGCAACAAAATAAATTAATTATTAAGTAATAATGCTTTGTTTCAATCAAGAAAACATTTATTTAATAAAATTAGTAACAATAAAATTTTATTTTTAATTTAACAACTTGAAATTAGCAAATAGTTTTTAACTATAGTTTTAAAGAAGTTCATTGATTAAAAGCTTGATAATTAGATTTTTGCAAGGATTTAGTTTTACCCATAGCTCTGGTATTCCAAATCTGATACTGCATTTCAGTGTTTTTGTCTTTTTATGTTGCTAGGCTTGATGCTAAAATTATCTTTTCTTTCTTTTCAGATTTTTCAAAACGACAAACCGTTTCCTATGCAGTGGACATGTAAGTACTGCACATTTTGTGCTGAAAAGAGGGGCTACTTACTTAAACATTACCGCTTAAAACACGGGTGCCACACTCGAATATCACCACTACCATGCCTTCATAAGGAATGCCTGTGCACATTTAAATCTTTCAATGCACTCAAAGTCCACTTATCAACATGGCACACTCAAAAGGACTTAGGGAACGTGGGTGAAACTGCTTTCCATTTTCAGCTGTGTGACTTTGTGGAGCCTTGCACTGATGCTGACTTTTTTACCCATTTACGAAGACATTTGAAGCTGAAGCAAAAGGTTTCTTGTCCATATCAAGGCTGTAACTTTCAGAGCAATGTTTATTCAACCTTTAATGCACATAAAAGCAAAGAACATCAAGACCACAATAACATGGCATTCAAACCTGAAATTGTGTCACATAATGAACTTGAGGAACCTCCACCTCATACAAATATTCAACCCGAGGATAGTGCCCCTGAAACTGATGAGGTTGAGTTTGAGGTTACTGAGCTCAGTGAAGATGTGGAGAACTTGGAGAGTCAGTTGGAACATAATGTAGCTGCTCTATTTCTGAAAATGTCATCAATTCTTAACATCTCTGAAAATGCCCTGCAAGAAGTTATAGAGCAGATCAATCAAATTTATGTGCTTTCACAGCCATTGTTACATACATCTGTTGGAAAAATACTAAATCAACATTGTGGAGATGTTGAGGACTCTTTAGTGAGTGAGATAGTTAAAGTATTTACTGAGAATAATGTATTCCTGAAATTCACCTCTACTGGGGGGTCATTGTCAACCACTAGCAAGCGAACATCATACATTTCAAAAGAATTCTCAGTGGTAACGCCTGTTGAGTTTGTCCTAAAAGATGACAAGCAGACATTTGTGTATATCCCCGTACTAAAAATGCTGCAGACATTGCTAAACAATGGAGACATTTTAGATAAGGCCATGTCACCTGAGCCAAATTTGTCACAAGGATACCGATCTCACAGGGATGGTTCCCGGTTTAAAGACAATTCTCTCTTGACAGAGGAAGAATTCAGGATTGCTCTTTGCTTGTACATAGATGATTTTCAGGTGGCTAACCCCTTAGGAACATCCAGAAAGAAACACAAGCTATGTGCCATTTACTGGGTACTTGGAAATCTACACCCTAAATATCGCTCCTCTCTTCATTCCATTCAGCTTGCTCTACTTTGCAAGGTCAGCAGTCTCAAAGACCATGGTTATGGGGAAATTCTCCGCCCACTCATTCAGGACCTTGTTTTTCTTGAGCAACAGGGTGTATATGTTGAACAGTTAGGAGCCAGCATAAAAGGCACAGTATTATTTGTTGCAGCAGATAATTTAGCTGCCCATTCTTTGGGAGGGTTCTTTGAGAGCTTCACAGTAAGTCAGATGTGCCGATTCTGTATGGCCAAACGGGAGGAAATACAACACAAGGAAGTGAGGACAGGCTCATTTCCACCAAGAACAAAAGAAAATCATGATAGACAGGTGCAAGATGTATTGCAGGATCCTACCATGGCTCAACAATATGGCGTGAAAAGAAGCTGCCCACTTAGTAAAAGCTTGGAACATTTTCATGTTGTCAATGGGTATCCTCCAGACCTTTTGCATGATCTTCTGGAGGGTGTTGTTCCGGCTGAACTGGCTTTGTGCTTGAAGGCACTAATATCAAAGGGATACTTCTCACTTGAAATCCTGAATGTGGCTATTAAACAGTTTCCATATACATTTTCAGACAGAACAAACCAACCCCAGATCATCGCAAAGAACTTTGCTTCCAAAGCAACAATTGGAGGAAATGGTCATGAAAATTGGACACTCCTTCGCCTTCTGCCACTACTGATAGGTCATCACATTCCCGAGGGGGATGAAACCTGGGAGGTTTTAATGAACTTAAAAGATGTAGTGGAATTGTCAGTGTCTGCAAGCTTCTCAGAGGAGTCAGTGTGCTTTCTTGACTGCAAGATTGCAGAACATAGAGATATATTTCAGAAAGTTTTCCCGAATGAGAAGCTACGACCGAAGCACCACTACATTGAGCACTATCCTCAACTAATTCAAACTTTTGGTCCATTGTGTGATGTGTGGACAATGCGTTTTGAAGGCAAACACAAGTTCTTCAAGAAAGTTGTGCGTCACATTCACAACTTCAAAAACATACCCCTTACTTTAGCTCTCAGACACCAGCATATGATAGCCTTCCATTTAGCTGCTACCTCCTTTTTCAAGCCATCTGTTGAAATTAACAAAGTGAAGTCTGTAATGGTTGCTTCATTTCCTGAAAATGTGAAGAACCGTCTCCATCTCAGGAATAACCAGAACACAGTCCTTGTAGCAGCTTCTGTTTGCATAGATGGCATTAAGTACAGTGCTAATATGGTAATTTCCGTTGGATCGTGCTCAGGGCTGCCAGATTTCAGACAAATAGCAAAGATTGTGGTGATCAATACAGACATAATATTTGTCTGCAGACTTATGAAATCATGGTACAATGAGCATCTTAGAGCGTACGAGCTCTGTAGTAGCCATTTGCCCACGTTCTCTGTCACTCAGTTGTCTGAACTAAATGATGTTTTCCCGATTTCACTTTACAGAGTTGGAGACAAGCAGCTTGTCACACTGAAACGGCACATATTATGCTGAGAGAGTCAAACAGTTATCAAAATGGACCAGAGGTTGTTACTGAGAGTCATCATCGCTGAAGATGATATAAGGAAGTTGACTTTAAATAAGAGACCACAGTCCATTGAAGAATTCAAAGTGCAACTGGTGGATAAACTGTCACTGCAGTATGACTTTAAACTGCAGTATGAAGATCAAGACTTCAATAATGCCCTCTGCAATTTGACTGAAATAACTGATTTACCTGAAAGAGCTACAGTCAAAATCATCCCTCTTGTGGCTCTCCATTTAACAGCATTGTCATCACCCACCACAACATCAGACACTGAGGGCAGCACAGCAGACACTGAGATCCTGTCGCCTGTAGGAGCATCACCATCGCTAAGACAACAGTGGCCAGAGTTCTTTGACATACCCAATTTCTCAGTAGATGTTGAGTATAGGCTCAGACAGGCAGATCTTGCCTATATGAAAGATGAAACACATATGACTCTACCACGAGATATGAAGCATGACATACTAGAAAAGCTTGCTGAGACGATGTACAGTTTCAAGGCTTACCCTGACGATGATAACTTCAGCAGTGTTGCAAAAGCACTGATTAGCAAACACCCCTGCCTCACTGAGCCTGGACCACACAGATGGTATGGCTGGAAAAATAGCCTTAAATTTAAGATGGCCAATTATCGCACAAAGCTTCGAAAAGCTGGATGTGAGGATGTAGCAATCAATGGAGGCAAAAGAAGTAAAGGCAACCCAGAGGGAGAATCCTCAAGCAAGAATATCAAGCGGCCAAGAAGAGGTGAAGCAAACTACCTGCCTAACTTACCTGAAGGACATGATGAAACAAGTCTAGAAAATGCCAGAATGGTTTTAGTGGAAGAAATGAAGAAAAAACAACCAAATGGCACTCTCATTTCACAAATGATGGACCAATCATTCCCACTACGCAGACAAGAAATTGTAAAAAAGGTGCCTGCTGTACAGAACATGGTTGAACGATGGCCAGCACTCTTCATAGAGAGACAGGTAAGCAATTTTTGTTCTCAACCAATAAAATAATGAAAAATTAAAAATAAATTCAAGGTGTGTGACTAGAAATCCAAATACTTGTTGAAATGTTAATCCCTCTGCCACCTCTCCATCCCTACCCACTCCTCTCTACTTTTTCAGGTGTTTGCTGAGTTTAATAGAATCGCCAGTAAGAATCTTGAGGGAGACTTCTTTGAGGCTCTGGACCAGTATGCCCCACGTTTCATTGAACTTTTCAAAACAAAAAAGGGAACTGTTGGCCAGAAACTCAGGGAGCTGATGCAGCACATAAGCTGGATGGTAAGTAGGTTCATTTTGCTTTTGATCTGTGTGATAGTTCATCAATCAAGTTCTAAATGAGACTATCCAGACCAACCTATTTTATTTCCTGTCTGCTTGTGCCTTGCAAATTGTTAACTGGTCTTTTCTCTCTCTGTGTATCATTAGACACCAGACGTCATAGTACTTCGCTCTGTTGTCCTCAAAGGCATTCCCATTTTACTCGGTGATGACTCCAGTGAATTCTACAAGACCTGCTCTGTAAGTACTTGCACATAAGAAAAAGTTTGGTCTTGTAGGACACTTAGAATTGAAGACCAGGAGACTTGGTTCTTTCTTCAGCAGGATTCTTTATTGAGAACACGAGCTGCTGCAGTTAAGTCTGATCAAGGCACAAGAAAAGGGTTAAATATATCATATAATATTATTGACAAGTATACATTTCCATGGCCAACACTTAGTGTCAGATAACTTAAAGACATTGCTATTGCTACAAATTTTACACACACACCCACCAACCTGGAGGTGGACACACCCACACACACAAACTTACTGACACACTCAAACACAGGCTCACACACACTTGCACATTCAAAAAGACTCACACACACAGATTCAAACACACACACACACTCAAACACAGGCTCACACACACTCGCACATTCAAAAAGACTCTCACACACACACACACACACACACACACACACACAGTCACAGTCACACATTCAAAAAGACTCACACACAGATTCAAACACAGACTCAGACACACACACAAACCTGGAGATTGAGGTGGGCACACTCACACAAACCTGGACTAACAAACTTACTGACACTCAAACACAGGCTAACACACTCAGACACACACACACACACACAAACTGACACTGGACCTGGAGATGGACACACATAGCGACCTGGAGTTGAACACACACAGACTCAGACACACACACACACACACACTCAAACACAGGCTCACACACACTCACACATTCAAAAAGACTCATACACACACACACACACACACACACAAACTTGGAGGTGGACACACTCGCACCAACCTGGACCAGGAGGTGGACACACATAAACTTACTGACACACTCCAACACAGGCAATCACACACTCGCACATTCAAAAAGACTTGCACACACAGATTCAAACACACACTCTTTCACACACACAAACACAGGCTCACACTCACTCACACATTCAAAAAGACTCATACACACAGATTCAAACACAGACACACTCACACACACTCAAACACAGACTCAGACACACACACAGATTCAAACACAGACTCAGACACACACACACACACACACACACACACACACACACACACACACACACACACACATACTTTACCAAAATAAAAGAGGAATTAAAATGAAAACTAAAATTTACAATTTGAATTTGAGTTGTCACTATTATTGCGTGAGCGTTAATAAAGAGCTTTGTAAAACTATTTGTAATTTCTTTTTCACGTTTGGCTTTTCATTTTAATATTGGCTGTCTTGCCTCGAGACTGCAGTAAAAATGAAATGTGAAATCACCAATTGCATTTTATTTTTCAATTTGACTGGGATGATGCACTGTCACCATGAGAATGAAATAATTTCATTTCATTCTCAATTTTGTCACACATTTTGCATACAGTTTTTTGTAATGAAATGGTTAATCTGGTTTAAATTTTCATTTTAGTCCTTTAATTTATTTAAATTTGGCAGAAAATGTCTTCCATAGATCTTAAACATATTCTTAAATTTGTAATCCTTCACTCTGCATGAACATAAAACTATACCTGCGTTGACAGGTGTAATTCTATCTGCTCAATATACAATATACATTTTGTACAGTGATTGATGTATTTTGTAGGTTGAAAAGTCAGTGTCACTCTTTGGGAATGTATAGACCTTTTTGTATCTCCATAGCTTTAGTTTAACCATTACAATATATATTTTGTTTGCTTTATTGTAACAATCCAGTGTGAAAACATTTAAAACCATGTTCTCTGATAACAATACAACACTAAAAAAAGAATGTTTTAGAACAGCATAAATTGCAATGCTGAAGAATGTGTGTCTTTGTAGGATACAGAGAGAGACAAGGTCCTAGAATCCATCACTGTTGGTGTGCTGACAGTTGTCAGTGAAGATAATCCTCACGAGGGTCAAAGCTCAGTGGACCTCCAGCCCATCTCCACTGCCATCATTCTGGAGGGAGTTATTGTCATGGATCATATTAAAAACTTGCCTCAGGCAGTTTGTCTTTTGTTTGGTCTTACATATGCATTGCATTTGGATTACCCAAAATGCATGGCAAATACTCTCAACTTCATTCAGACTGTGATGCTTGGACTGGGAAAGAAAAACCTCCCACCAAAACTGTTAACTCTGAAGAACAGTCTTCTGGGTTAGAACAGTAAAGAGCCGTCGGCTGTCAGATAGCACTTTGTAAGCTTTGCAGCCATTAATGTTCTCCTCTTATCAGAGAAAGTTTGATGCTTTCATGCAACTGTTCTCACTAATTTACGTTCTCAAAGGAAAAAAAAAGAATATTCCATTAAAGTCTACCATGTTATGAAGGTATGCTAATGATGGAAATAATGCCACGTTGTGTTGCAATGAGTTGTTAGTTGTTATTAGATGATAATGTCAGAAAATAACCTAGCAAGGTTATCCTGTTTACATTTGTGTTTTGGGAAAACTTTTCATAGTTGTAATGTAGTACAAACACAAACTCCAAGGAGTGATGTTTTTATTTGTGTTGGTTTAATCCTTTGACTGCTCACTTTGGGAAACAAAAGCATTTGTTGTACTTTCAGTTTTGATCAGAAATGCACTGATTTTGCATGCACTGAAGTCATCCAGTAGTTACCTGTTTAATATTGGGAGACTGTTACATGCATAGAATTATCTCACAGAAATATTTTTATTTAATTTTTTTATATTTTTCCTTTTCATTTTATACAGTTGAACAAACCACAACTTTGTTGTTTAGCTGCTGTTTTGTACTTGAATGTGCATTGAATAAATTTTGTAATGGAGCTGAATCAACCCGGTGAGTGTTCTTTTATATTATATGTTTGTGTTGTGTTTGCCTTTAATACATAGTAACAGCAAAAATTTATAAGAAATGGGGAAGAGAAAAGGCCACATGTTGGACCCAAACCTGGGCAGCTACAACAAGGACCCATTAAAGGAAATTGGTTTCTTTAATTTAAGTGAACTTGAAAAATTAGTGAGCAGAACTGAAAGTGTTAAGTTGTAGGTATTTAGTAATTCTAAGTGGGGTTAAATTTATATCAAGCAATCCACACAAAATAAAAAAATTAAGTTAACACTAATCATGGCTATTAAGTTACATGAACTTAAAAAAACGTGTTAGTGGTACTACTTCATTTAGTACTGCACACTTAAAAAAAACAAGCTTTTCTAACTCACCAATCTTAAGTTTACTTTGCTTAATTTTTTTGAGGCAACGAGTTTGCATACTTTTTTTAAGTAAGGTCAACTAATTACATTTTACAGTGTATATAATATAAAAGTGATCATATATGAAACCCCTGAGATCAGGACAGGTAGCCTATCTGATGTTAATGTATATGATATATAAAGTATTTGGCACAAAAGCCCTGGGATCGGGACAGGTATCTTAAGTTATAACAGTATTAATGTAATCTGAGAGGTATCTTAAGTTAATTTGTTTAATAAAACATACACTGACTTCACATGAAACCCCTGCGATCAGGACAGCTATTTAGTACTGCATATAAAAGGCATTGGACACGAAACCCCTGCGAATACATACAGGTATCTGAATCAAACGGCTGTTTTCACAATCTGCGCATGATCCGTGACCTATGCAAATTCACAGATAGGCCACGCCCACCCGATGACGCAGTAGCGGTTACGCTGTACTGAAACCCCTGGAAAAAAGTGCCTGCCGCAGAAAGGTGGTAGGTAAAATGTGCTCCAGCTAAATGTGACAAATTTAGTATTTTAACACATATTAATAACACATACAAGCCCAATATGAACATTACGTGATGTTTTAGATCAAATCTGTCGAGTGATTGCCGTGTGTGACCTACTTTGTGTGGTTAAATTTGCTCATGCTATGTGTAGCTGGAATGATGACATTATTATGTGCAGGGGGGATTTCTTACTATTTGTTTGGGGTTTTTTAGATGCATGTTTAAATGCATACTGTTGCCAGAGGATGTATATTTCTGTTACAGAATAAACAACGCAGAATGCAGTTCTCTGTGTCCGCCTGAGTGATTTGTGTCATCAGGAAGAGAAGCGTTACATGTGCATTTCCTGTAGTAAAAGTGCACTTAATAACTCTTGGTGATAACTAAAATTGAAAAATGTGTGTAACATATTTGTGTAATTTAATAATCATATACCCTCTCCTCTGTTGATTTTGTTGTGTTAGAAAACTACATGCTGGTTCTTGTTAATAAAAAATAGTGTTGTGGTAACAGCAGTGTGTGTGTGTGTGTGTGTGTGTGTGTGTGTGTGTGTGTGTGTGTGTGTGTGTGTGTGTGTGTGTGTGTGTGTTTGAGTGTGTGTGTGAGAAGGCTCCAGAATACACAGCCAGTCTTGAACAGAGAGCTTGAGTTCAGTCTTTCTGCTCATCAAGTCGGTCATAACTCTACACTCAGTGTCTGAATCTTCCTCAGCACATCGGCTTTCACATCGCTATAACTGATGCGTTTTAGAAACACAGCTATAACAGTCAGAGAAACATGTGCTGATCTCCATGATGGTGAGGTCAAATTAAATATCTTTAATAAATATAAACCTCTGTTCATTGTCAAATATTCTTACAGAAATGAAGTCAAGCTGTACTCAGTGAAGCTGCTAATGCTGTTATTTGATTGAGTTGTTTAATCCTCTGTTTTAGTTCAGTTGGTTTGGTTTGACGCTGTGTCTGTAGTTTGATTTCTTCCTTCAGTTTCTTCTTCCTTCAGTGATTGTGCTTGTTAACAGCAGGTGTTCATCAGCAGGTGTCTGAATTCACTTATTTGTGGTCATTCACTCTGTCCAGTGGACTAAACTAATTGACTAGTGTAAGGGCCGGGTGAATGAGGGTGTAGGGCGAGATCAGACACTCTGATTAGTTTCTTAAAAACAGGGGTTTTCTACAAAGGTAGATACATGTTCCTCTGAATGACAAGGAGGCAAATCAGCTTCTAACGCCGAGAGGGTTATTTTACCTTTATCTAACTCTAGAATTTTAACACTTTACTCTGAATTACCACAACACTTGAAATTTAACACCAATGAATTTGCCGTGTATTCATCTCACTACATCTAAAAGTGTCTCCACAGATTGTGGTTCAGTCGTTCACAAGCATTAAAATGAGTAAAATATTATTTTAATAATGAAGAATATCTGGATAAGCAAAAGATCATAAGTGTTACTATAAACCCTAAATGAACCCAGTTTACCTCTGCACACTACATCCGTGCCTTTAAATAATATATTCAGCTTCATTTATTGTGTTTCCACTAAACTATTTCATCTCATCAAGAGGGAAAAGATGTATAATCATGAATCTTGTTCTCCTGCAGATCTAAATATCAAGGTTAAATCATATATAACAACATTTATATTAGAAAAATCCTATTTGCAGATTTGTTTTCTGCCCACAGCAATAGTTTAATGAAACATTATATTTTCCCAGAAGTTGTGTTCAGATATCTACAGAATCTTTTCTTAATAAAGGAAATAAAAGCCATTTAAAACAGTGCATGTCTCATCAGCTGGTTAAAGGATGACTAGAGGAAAATGAGCTGTGTTTCTGTTTTACTCTACTTTAACAAGCAGAAAACTCACACTGACTTATTATCGTATTGTTCTGAACATTTTGAGAAATGACGACGATAAAGGGTGTCAAACATCTGTAAATGAGTGATCATTATATAATCCAAACCTTTCATTAAAGCTGTCCTGTTCTCATCTTACAGCAATTTAGACAAGCTTTTACAACCATTTCAATCACTGACTAATCGATATACAACCACAGCATCAATAAACACACTGCCTTAACAATGTATTTTAATCTATGTGAATAAAGACAGATTAACAGATATATTGATTAAATAGGAGAGTGATCACCAAACACCTTCACTAATAGACAGAAAATACAGTTAAACTCAAATGAGGAGCTGCAAACAATAAACAATATACAAACTGCAAGAACTAGGGCGACACGGTGGCTCAGTGGTTACCACTGTCTCCTCATAGCTTGAAGGTAACTGGTTCGAGCATTAGCTGGGTCAGTTGGTGTTTCTGTGTGGACTTTGCATGTTCTCCCAGTGTTGCCGTAGGTTTCCTCTAGGTGCTCCGGTAAGTAGGCGGTTCATTCCACTGTGGTGACCCTTGATAAAAATCAGGGACTAGGCCGAAAAAGAAAATGAATGAATGAACATTTCAGCTAAATTAAAACTGTTTTGGCTTCAGTTCTGACTAATCTAATGTATAAACACACTTATATTATTGAACAGCATCCGATAGAAAGTAATAATTCATCAGAGAGATCTGTAAGGGGTGTACTCATTTCCATTTCCATCTGTAATTTTATTTTATTGGTCCAACACTGCTTTAAATATTTTTCAGAGACCTCTTGGATTTATTTCAAATACCTTTTTCTCTATTCTCATATATGTATTATATGACTATATTGCGGCAATCATTAAAATGATTTAAGAGGTTATCATTCGCCTGGATTAAAATATGTAACAATGTGGTATTGAGTAAAACATCATACCCAAATGAAAATGGTTTATTAAATAGTTTTTTTTAAATGAACTTCTTTCAATATTTCTATATTGAGCCAAAATAATATACCATTCAAATCGTGTTGAGTGTTTATAATATTTAATATTCATTGTGTATGATTTTAAATTATTTGTAATTGAACATTTATTCACAGGTTGCGTCATAGATAGATTTAAAAAAAATGTACGAGACAAGCTTTACATTAGAAATGGGTCATACAACACAGCTAATCGTTTATTGTTTTATTATAACATTTAAATAAAGTTAAATATTTAATATTCATTGTGTATGATTATAAATTACCTCCCAGATAGCACACATGCGTCGCAGAGACGTCTGCTGGACATCCGCGTTTTCATCTGGGAGACTTCTTATTCAGGGCGTTTGCTCATCTGGAAAACGTCGCATAGACGTCCTTGTCATACATTCAAACAACGTCTATGCGATGCATTACAGATGTTCATTTTTAGAATGTTAGGTCTGTGAGACATCTTATTTATGTAGCATAGACGTCGTTTTTTTTATTTGTTTATTTAGATATTCCTTCATTCATACTGCTATAAATAACAGTTACAGGTACTCTGATTATACATCCGTCTTCACATATATAATAAGCTAAAGTATATCCACTCAAAATGAAAAACACAACGGCTGAAGAATTATTTGTAGAATTTTATTATATTATAATTGATTAGAATTCATATTTTTTGAAGCAAACAAAACCAAATAGCAGCAAATAAATAAATAAAAAAAAACAACTGGCTTAAGAGGCCATTCTTCCTGGGGCCAAGCGGAGAAAGTCTTTCAAATATTTTTCGGCTTCTGCCTCTGTTGGAGACGGAAGCACGTGGTTCCTCATAGCTGCACCTGTTAAAAAAAGAATAAAAATAAAGAAATTAAAATAAGGCGGTTTTAAGAAGGCTCAGGGGGTGTTTTATTTTATTGTGAGCCTTTTATTTTTATCTGACCAAAATTAATACACACCATGTTAATTATTGCATTTGACTACATAATAATAATATAGAGTGGAAGAAATAATACTATGATTGTTTGAAATGCGTTTAGCTAAATGGCATATCGTCTATTTTAGATAATGATCGTTAACACCATTTTTTAAATCAGTTTAGCCTACCTTTATTTGATTGCTGTTCATTTGTTGTTGAAATACGGCTTAGATTGGAAATATTTTTACTATTCGATCATGCACATTCCTCATGTAATCAATATCATATTCTTTAAAACGTTACTCTCAAATAAATTAAGCTATAGCTTTGAAAAATTGATGTCAAATAGAAACGAGAGGTGCAAAAGCTTAAATCCGCCATAAAATGAATAAAGAAAAAATAACAACAACAAAAAACAAGTGTACTTGCATTAGTATGCACTTGGACAACGTGGTCAAATTCAAGGAATCGACTCTTTTGTGTTCGAAACTTCATCACTATTGCGCATGTCTCCTCAAAGCATCACACTCAGCACGTAGAAGACACCAGTCCACGCGGGAATACTGAGGTAAGCAGTCTGATTCATTGTTATTGATATGTGTGGTCAGTAAAATATTTATTCCACTTTGTTTGTAGTAAATTTAACAAGGTAATAACTTTATTTAGACGAATAAAGCTATGTTTAAACACGTTGTGATGACAACTGACCAAGCAGCAGTTCAAGGTGATTAGGGCTAACTTAAATTTCGGGAAAATTTATTAGATTAATATCATACGACAAATTGACTGCTAAATAATGAATACTGTAAAAGTGTACATATGCATTATACTGTAGTGCTGGGAGATTATTCGAAAATCGAAACCTAAATCCATAACCGACATATATCCCCACGTGGCGATTTAATGCACGTACCGTCCACATGTACTTCAGCAAAGCTCAAGCGAATGCAGGCAATGTGATTAATATTCAGAGGCATGACAGATTTTCTTTTTGATTATTATATGACCTATAATTTGTGAAGCATAACTCACTTTTCTTTAGCGTATATTCATAATCAAATCGACTGAGGTTTTGTTTTTATTATTTCTAGTTATCACATACAAGGTAGGTGCAGTAATCAGCACTATCGCCTCACAGCAAGAAGGTCGCTGGTTCGAGCCTCGGCTGGGTCAGTTGGCATTTCTGTGTGGAGTTTTCAATTTCTTCCCGTGTTCGCTTGGGTTTCCTACGGGTGCTCCGATTTCCAAAGTCCAAAGACGAGGTATGGGTGAATTGGGTAAGCTAAAAAAATGGTCCATAGTGTGTGTGTGTGTGTGTGTGTGTGTGTGTGTGTGTGTGTGTGTGTATGTTTCCCAGTGATGGGTTGCAGCTGGAATGGCATCCGCTGCGTAAAACGAATGCTAGATAAGTTGGCGGTTCATTCTGCTGTGGCGACCCCGAAATAATAAAGGGGCTGAGCCAAAAAGAAAATGAATGAATGAACATACAATGTAAGCTGTCTTTTCGTAAAGAGAAGCATGCACACACACGCACTTAAAATATTATTGTGAACAGCAATGTTCACATTATGTACTTTTTCACAATGCTTTATTATTTACTATTTTCCAGACACAAGTTATGCTTGTTAAAGATACTTGTCATTTTCCACTTTTGACATGGAAATATTTTTTTAGGGAAACTTTCTTTTAACACTAAAACTGAAATGTTTAGTAAATGAATAAATGGAACTTGATTAAGTACAAAAAATTACTTGGAAAATAATATAATGATTCAATATTTCAAAAGGAGGTAAAGTGTTCAATCAATCAAGGTTTTGATTTAAGGTTTAATCTCCTTGCCCTAATATACAAGAATGAACAATTCTCCACTTAAAATAATGATCTAAATTTTATTTCTAAAACACTCTTGTGTATTAAATATCATTTTACAATATATGAACAGCATATGCTAGCTCGTAAGCTTATAGCACACTGATAACCATATTATGTGTGTACAAGGTAATCATGCTATAGAGATATACTGGCAGTTCTGTCTTATAGGTATTATCTCAACCGTTCATTGCAAGACAATTGAACATACCTATCACAAGTGTCCCAATATTTGTGTTTTTTAGGCCTCTTTTATCTCCTCTTCCACACCAGTTGAGCTGTTTGGCCACTGGACCAAACACTTTGGAGGCTACACGTCAAATGGTTTTTTTCAGAGTTTGTCCTCCTCTCATGGATAACCTCTTCATCTTAAAAATAAAAGGTAATATTAAATCTTTACAGACAAAGTGCAAGGACTATGGCCCAGTTTTACAGACAAGGATGAGCTTAAGTCTGGACTATAAGTCTTAGTTAATGTTAGATATAAAACTTCTTTTATAAAAATGCATGTGAAAGAAAATATAAGCACGATACTAGTGTGCATCTGGTAACAAAATAATGGCAATGAGATATTGTAAGGCATCACACAGCTCACACATACATTTTTAGTTTGGGACTAGCCTTAAGTGTTGTCTGTGAAACTGGCCATATAATAAAGATTTACTTAACAACAGCTGTAAAACCTTTAAATCTTAAATATTCGTACCACCTTCTCCATCATTGGTTTTTCAGCTAATTGCCTTTCCAGTTGTTCAAGGTCCTCCATTGTTTCAATAGAAAAGGTGTCATCCTCAGTGTCCACCACCATTTGACCACTTGACCGAGGGGCAAGGGACTGGACCACTGAAGTTAGATGGGTAATCTTCATGTCCAGCTCATTAAGCTTCTCCAAAATTACCCTCTCCACAGCTGCAACACAGTAAGTGAGTTAATCTCTATTCAACTATATGTAAATATTTTTGAATTATTATTATTATTCTTACCACTTAAATTTCACTTACGTGTGCATTGACTGGAGATGCAGCTCCATCGGCTGATACCAGAAGTATCTGCAAGCAAAATCACTTTTGAACGATTCACAAAAATATTATGAGGATATTATAATAATATGCTTGAAACCTTAAACAATAAAAAAAAACTATATCCATCTAATTACACATTGTTTTTCTATGGCTAAAATGACTTAAACTATTCACAGAATTCAGAAAAGCAAAATTGCAAAATTGAATTAAGAGGAAATAAAACAGAATTTTAAAAAGCAGACAGAAGCCAACTCCCTCTTGGTCTGTGCTTTTACGTAAAATAGTTTTTATGTGAATTTTTCTGTGCATATGAAATCATTAGGTCCCCAAAGTTATTGAAAGCATAAATTAACAAAACGCTTTAAAATAATTTTCAAACTAGTAATTTATAGGTAATGATAAATTATATATTGTACTCTAATACATTAATATTCTGAATACAGTGAGTTTTTTTACTTTCACTATAATTAACGAAGTGTTTTTTGTTGTTGTATAGTGTTGTATTTATTAGGTTACAAGGAAATAATTAGATAATGTTTTGCGAACAGCTTATTAACCATGGAAAATTTCACAGAAAATTGGAAAATGTCATTGATTAGTTGCTTTGAACAAGTTTCATATTCAGTGTTGATTAATATGTTTACAAATAAATTAAAAGGATGTACATTTACTTACGTTTGCACACCATTAAGTGGTTATAAACATTTGTTTTTTTTTGTTCTGCTAAACACAAGGAAGGTATTGTGAAGAAAGCTAAAAGCCAGTGATTATTGACTTCTATAGTAGGAAAATGCTATGGAAGTAAATGGTTACAGGTTTCCAACTTTCTTCAAAATATCTTCATTTGTGTTCAGCAAGAAGGAAGAAAGTTTGGGTAACACTTCGTAACAACTGCACACTGAATCATGCATTTAGCATTAGCAAATTGTTAATTAATTTGCAAGAAATTTAATTAATTTGTTAAGATTTAACTACATTAATAGATGTTGGTTAGCAGTATATAAATACAACTACAAATACTGTATAAAAACATAATAATAATAATAATTCATAAGAAGTAACTGTCAATTAAAAAAACAAATGACTTACTCTTCGCTCTTGCCAGGGTACTTGAAGGTCTCAGCTCAGAAGTTGTGTCTTCTGTGTGATTGTACAGACAATGTAACATTACCATGTTAATAATTAGAAACTAATTTGCTATGTATGTTTTATTGAATGTTCTTGCACCTCGATAGCTCGATGGGTGGTCCCCCCAAGCATCTTCTTGCTCATTTACATGGGACATGCTTATTGGAAAAACTGGTGCTGAGAAAAAGGTCAAGTTGGTAAGTTGCATTTGCTACTATGACACTACATAAAATGTATATAATTTATTTATTTTTTACACTTACTCTGCATTTTTCTTTGATCTGCTGATGGCTTTGGATCTTGGACAGAGTATGTGTTGTCTAAATAATAAAAAACAAACAAACAAAAGTATAAAAAGGTTGCAAAAAATTACAATAAATGTGTTTAGGATTTCCTCTGTATACTTCATTATTGTTTTATTTAATCTTTGATGGTAGAAACATGTAGGTGATCAGGTCACCCATATAGAAATCTGATGCATGTAAATATACAGGGTGATTCAAAAAGAATACCACAACTTTTAAAATCAAGAACTCTTCAAAGAAGAGGAGGTCATATTGAACATCTATGAACTTGTTTACTACTAAAAAACTTTTAAGGACTTCACACTGATTATTTACCCAAGGTTCCATCATGTTTCTTTGATTAAATACAGATTTTCAAAGTTGTGGTATTCTTTTTTTAATCACCCTTTATATAGAAAACAAATAATTGAATTAAAAGTTCATATTTAGACTTCACATGCAATATTTGTCATTGACCACTTATATATTTGTTAAACAACTGGAATTACAGATATGTATAGATATATAAATTTTATATTAATAATTAATATTTTTAGGTTTTAATAATTACATTTAATAAGATATATATATATATATATATATATATATATATATATATATATATATATATATATATATATATATAATATTTTTTTCTGTAGAATGCTTTAAAATATTATATTTGTACATTAGGTTTGTCAGTACTAAAGTCAAAATAATTTAGCTAAATAAATTTATATTACGGTTCAAAAATATATACAAAAAACCTCTAAAATACAGGAAAAAATCAAGAGAAACTTAAAATAATATTACATTTATTATTATTATTATTATTATTAGTTTACTTTTTTGTGCAAATACTCATTTGAATTTAAATTTAAATTGTTTTTTTATTCCTAAAGATGTTATGTGGCCAAACTTGTATTTTAGTGCACATAACTGTTTAATAAACATCTTTTATTTAAATGAACAAAAATATTATCTCTGTTTACTGAAAAATAGATTACAATATTCCAATTCAAAAGGAGGTGTACTCATATGTGCTGAGCAGAGTGTGTGTGTGTGTGTGTGTGTGTGTCTGTGTGCGTGCGTGTGTGTGAACATATCTGTACATATAATTCCAATCGTTGAAAGATAATATTTGTAAGCAGCACAGCCATTTTTGCAATATTTTAAAATGTATATTGCATAAATAAAATATATTTTATTTGTAAAATCCTAATAGGAACTTGCATGGCATATATGTAATTTGCATAAATTTAAATGCAACAGATTTCATTATGGGCAGGTATCGCATTGGTGATCTGCATATGAGAAGCTCTGTCTTTATTGAGCTTTCTTGACATTTGACAAAATGGTACTCTTTCTACTGTTGTAGATGAATTGTGTTCTCTTTTTTGTATTTTAGTCTTAGCTTTACAGCCTTGTTTAATCAAACATTTTCTTTTTTACAATACAGCTAAATGAAATGTGACCGTAATTACCCGAAGTGAGACATACAACTTACATGGTGCTCTGTCTTGTAAAGGCCGCAGGACAGAAAATGTGTCCTCTGTTGGATTGTACAGAAAATGTTGAGTTACCTAGTGTGAGTATGTGGAGCAATTTTCTTATTTCAGTTCTTATTTCAAATACCAATGAATCTGTTATTATTTATTTTGTTTTTTACCTTGATTTTCAGGTTGGGGTTTATCCCAAGTGTCTTGGTGCTCCACTTCCTGGCAGAACCTCACAGGTACGTCTGGAGCTGAAACTGCAATTATTTTCTTTGCAATTATGAAATGTTATTTGACATTTTTAATTGTAATACCTGGTTCGGAGAAGATTCAGTCTTTAAAGAGGCTTTCAACTTTTGGCAGAATAAGCAGATCATGAAACATACAATTTTTGCACAATTATTATGAAAGTCGATATCTGGTTATATTGACTGTGATAAGGGAGTCATGGTTTTAACTGCTAGTAACAATGAAAATTTAAGGATAGGAGAAGGATTTAAACTCTGATGACTTACTGCAAGATTCTGAAAGATAATATCTTTTAACAGTTACAAGAGGAAGTGGTCCTGTCCTTCTAGACCAGTTCTCAACCTATGCCTATGAAGTTCTCCGTGTATTTCAGTATTTCAGCTTGTGGTTATTTTTGAGTGGGTACATTTTGAGACATTGTATCCCATTGTGTCATTCTTTGACACAGAAGCTGACACATTGTACTTGTCAGTGACTAAAGGGTTCCTGATGCTTTCAAACTCTTTCAATGATGAACCGGATGAATCTTTCAGTATAGGAAATTAATTTTGAAATGAACACTGAAAACTTCTGGAAGATAAATTCTTTAAACCGATACAAAGGGAGTGGTGCTTGTCCTTTCAACCTATGCCTATAAAAGTCTCTGGGCATTTTACAACATTTCTGCGTGTGATTCTTAAGTGGGTACAATCGATACATTGAGTCAAATTGTGTCATTCTTTGACACAGAATCTGACACATTGTACTTGTTTTGGCTCTGGCAAACTGGGTTTCCTAAACTATTCACCTTAATAACTGAAATCCTATTTTATAATATTATTTTCTTCTCGGCCAGTTGATTGTGACTCTTTATGTTTAAATAATGTCAGTTTCCCCTATGAGCATTTCTTGTCCAGTGGACTCAATTTAAAAATTAGCTTGTGTTGCACTTTCTCCTAGCCACATAATATACAGTTGAAGTCAGAATTATTAGCCCCCCTTTGAATTAGTTTTTCTTTTTTTATATATATTTTTCAAATGATGTTTAACAGAGCAAAGAAATTTTCACTGTATGTCTGATAATATTTTTATGTCTATATATTTGTTTTATTTCAGCTAGAATAAAATCAGTTTTTAATTATTTAAACCCATTTTAAGGTAAAAATTATTAGCCCCTTTAAGCTTTATTTTTTTCTGATAGTCTACAAAATAAACCATCATTGTACAATAACTTGCCTAATTAACCTAACCTGACTAGTTAACCTAATTAACCTAGTTAAGCCTTTAAATGTCTCTTTAAGCTGTATAGAAGTATCTTGAAAAATATCTAGTCAAATATTATTTACTGTCATCATGGTAAAGATAAAATAAATCAATTATTAAAGATGAGTCATTAAAACTATTATGTTTAGAAATATGTTTTAAAAATCTGCTCTCTGTTAAACAGAAATTGGGGGAAAAATAAACTGGGGGGCTAATAATTCAGGGGGGCTAATAATTCTGACTTCAACTGTATATATATTCAAGTCACTTTTGCTTCAACAATATATATATATATATATATTTAATAGAGGTACAATGTACTTCTATTAAAAATAGGATCGGAATATTACATTTATTTATATTTGTGCACAAACTGTAGGTGAGTGTTGTCTATTCAGCAATCAGAATCATGAACCAGCCTGTCATTGAGTCAGCCTTTTGAGTCATGAATGCTGTGAAGTTACAGCTTTTACAGTTTGTAGTTACAGTATTCATTCAAAGCGAGTTACCTTGACTAGTGGAGGGAGTTTCAAAACAGGCCTGCTGTTGCTTTTCTGTAGCTTTTTGTTGGTCGCGGACAAATGCTGTTGAAACATTACAGATGAAACAGATGTTATATCTGTCTCACAAACAAAAATTACATTGTACTGCACAGATCTTTATAGCTTGAGAGTGCTGTTGCTTCTAATTAGCAATTAAAAGTTATTTGTGCCTCTTAAAATGTAATACTCAATTTATGAATGTAATAACAGTAGTTTTTTGCAAAATGTTAAAAGAACAATATTACTGGATTCAGCTGAAAACATTATGGTAAAGCAACATGTCACAAGAGCTTGTGCATTACATTTAATTTACTGTGATTAAGGAACATTCTTGAGCATATCACAAAGTACTTAAAACATCAAATATCTGTTTTACTAATTAAAACTTACAATTGCAAAAACTGTTAATTGTTTTACATGATGTTAGCTGAGGTCGTACAAGGGGACCTGGAAAAGAAAAAAACTGCTCAGTGATCATACATACACTTTTGACTGGCAGTAATATAAGTGGTGTATTTTTACCTTTTGCCCTGATATGTCTTGGGGGTGTTGGAGCTTTTGGTGCAGGTGGGACCCTTGGTGTTGGTAGACTTTTTTCTTTATTTAGTTTCTTTTTTTTGTGGGGAGTATCGCAAGGCTCATCATCTGATGTGTATATTTTCTTTCTATGAGCACAATCAGGGTAGTTAATTATACAAAGCATGATTGGATTATAACAATGTCTTGTTTTTTAAATGTAAGAAGAAAAAAACACAAACTTAAAAATAAGTTCAATATAATTTTTCTAGTAAAAGTTTTCTTTCCATCATTCTTAGGAAAGTTAGGAAATGGCCAAAATATAATAGTAAAAATAACAAAACCTTTTGCTTGTTTAAATCTGGCATAATTGTGGATTTGCGTGTTGCAAAAAATGCAAACAAACAGTTGATGATACATTTAAAACTAAATATACCTGATTTACCTGATAAGTGTGATTGAGATGTAAAAACTACGGCTGAATTTGATATTATAATTAAATATATTTACCTTTGTTACTGTTGTGATGAGTCAGAAGGCATTGAATCCATTTGCAAGCTTTATTAAGAGCACACATACAAACAAACACAAAGGGGCAATCCAGGAGACAGAACGTGGGACAGGCAAAAGTTCAAAGGCAGGCAGATATCTTACTGGTCAGAATAACAGGCTGGAGATCAGGGGCAGGCAGATGTCTTTCGTAATCGTAGAACAAGCACAGGGTCAGAAACACAGATCAGTCCGAAGCAGGGAGTATGGAACGCTCAGAAATGACAGCCAGGCAAATCAAGACTTCGCAACGAACCGGAGCGTGAGTGTGGTATATATACACGAGAGCTGATGAGTTGCACCTGGACCGTAATCAGTGCCAGGTAGCAGGGCTTATGGGATATATTAGTCCGTGAGTCGAATCAGAATTCTGGCGATGGTTCCCTCTGGTGGTGCACAAGAGGGTTGGCATCGCCCTCATTTACAACAGAACCCCCCTCCTGCGAGCGGCTCCTGAAGCGAGAAGGCACCTGACGCCGGGGTCTACCGCGCTGTCGGGGGGCTGGTTTCTCTGGGAACCTTTGATGAAACTCTTCCGTGAGAGTTGGGTCTAGAATAT